CATTCAATGAGAAGGTGCTACGCGTCCTTTTATGTATTGCAACCACGTGTAATCGGACATTGACCCACTATTGGCTCCTTCCCAAAAATGTGCATGACTGCCATGAGTCCTTAACCTTCGCCATTAGTTGACGTCATAATGAATGTATGCAAGAATACAAATGAAATCGTTATGTTCTCATGAATATAATTCATTACGTTTGCAAAAAGGCCATGTGGTAGCACAGCTATGATTACTAATTCACAACCGGCAATAGATATGATTGATGTAAATGTTCTGTACATAGAACTAGGGTTTATGTAAAAAAAACGATCCAAGTACAAACTACATTAAACAAAGACAACAATACATTTTTCGATGTCGATTTATGCTTTAAAAGATTTTTTACATATTATTATGGGTTAAATTATTATTATTATTATGTATGTTATTTAAAATTATAGATCAACGGACACACAGTACATAATGGTTATATCGTCAATGTAAAATAAAGTACCTACTCAGATTTTAATAGATATCACGTAGCATATTCCGAATTATAAATTATTAACATTTCACCAAATATACGAAGTACGGTGACCATTTCCAGTAATCTGTTAATATTTTATTACCCTTTTACAATCATATCTTCCAGACCGAGTTGTATATTGTTGTGTTGTATTCATTTAATTTCTATCGTAATGAATTATTGTGTAACATACCTTTGACTTACAAGTCATTTAATACAAACAACTACTACAATAGACCACATTTCATAATATTTTCATTACTATAAAAGTAATCGTTAATAGCAGCTGCGTGACAAACTTCACCTAATTCAAAATTAATAATAGTTGTGGAACAAATATCGACTTCAGTATTTCCGTACCGCTACAACTTTCAAACCTTCAAGAAATAATTCTATTCACACTCCCACTTCGCAACGGGCTTTTGACTCTTGCAGCAGTTGTTGAGTTGCAGCTGTCTATAGGCGATGGTATTCATAATCATGTGACCCACTTGCTCGTTTGGCCCAATACTATAAAAAATAACTTTTAAGTTTGACAAGAATTTTCCATGAAAATTCAGCTGCCACTGGTTTTATTTATAGTCACCCATAGCTCCTCGAGAGGTTCCATCAATTGAAAATATTGAGAATGTCTACCTTCTTGTATGTTAGTAAAAATCTCAGTATGTATACTCGCAAATGGTCCTACATCTAGAAATTAGATTAATTTCTGTAAGGAGGAAGGGGAGGTTTCCATAGTCTTATGTCCAATCTTATATCCATAGTACTTCCTAATGCTTATTTATGTTATCCTAATATTACTTTATGATCTCAGAATGTTTTCTTTAACTAAATGAATAATTTCAAGGATATTAAACAATAATATTTATTTAGAACTAAATTATTTTTGTATTAGTTACGATATGATTTTTAACAAGCGATAATTTCGTAAATTATATCGAAATTAGAACTACGAAGGCTTGAAAGTTAACGAATTAATTAATTTAACAAAGTTTCAATAAACTTAAAAACAAGGTTAACTATGATTGCAAAAGTAAGTGTTCCAAAATGATTCACTAAATTCATAAATCGGCTCATATCAGGACGTGTCAAGGTAACTTGACTTAAGGCCAACGATATAAAATAGGATGTACAATCGGATAATTACAATTTTATTTTTATATAAAGAAATTATTTATTAAATAATAATGTTTTTATCTTTGCAGTCAAACTTAACATTCATTAATTAAACAATTACATACATAATTAACTTTTAAAAGTCTTTACCTATCACCTACATCACGATAAATTGTAATAAATTATATTTATCATTCCTGATTTGTGTGAGTGTGTGTGTGAACTGTTTTTTCAATTTGTATAAGACCAAATGGGAAGTACACTATCCCAAATTTAAAAGATAATTATCTGAAGATTTTTTCAAATGAATTCATAAATGCCAGGGTTCTGAGATAACAAACAAACAAAAAAAAGAATTCCATTTTTCCTCTTTTTTGAAATGATACTATTTCTTCATCATGATGATGATATTCTTTGTTTCTTCCTGCATCCTGCATACTGTAATCGTCACTTAGTACTTAAGCTGGCAGTCGTCCAGCAAGTACCTATAATTTTCGCCTACATGTGCAAGAAGCCTGGTTATCAGTAGTGGGCTCTATTTTTTGGTCACCAAAATTTCTTCGGATCTGCACCTGCTAGGGGTCGCAGGAGCCCCACCTAACTTAGGTCCTATTCCAAGGGAAGCCAGAAGCTTCCCGCCGCCTATCAGTAAATCTTGGGGCCCGATCGCATTTTGGTGCAATTACCTTACCCTTACCGCAGTAATTAATCTACCACCAACTCTGTCCGTCATATTGCCGATGGCGACCGAGTTAAACGCTATTGCCCTTCTGTGAAAAGTATTCTAACAAGGATTTCCCAGAGAGCTAAGAGTTTAAATTACTTATCATGTAAAAAATAACTCTAAATTTTATTGCCTAGGGAATACAATTTAAACTAACACAGTTCACATTGTGAGATCACTGATGATTCAGTTTTCGTCACGTCACATTAATTTCAATTTATGACCCTATTGTTATTGGATATATTGCGTTCTCTTCCCTAACGAAGGTACCTATCTACGCTATTTTGTCTTACTGCATTAGTGTAACTTAAAGGATTTAAATCGTCATTGGTTAAATTGAAATGCTTTGAATACCTATCCTCGGTCAATGGTATAACACGTGTAAAAATTAATTTAATCTTTTTTAATCAACTATTTTCTAGTAACTTACTAGTTATTACTTACTTATTAAAATATAAATGTGTCATACGCCATCTATCGCTCATGAGAACATTTAAGTGAACTTAAAGAATAGTGTAATCAAAGTAATGAGGTTAGAATAGAGTTATTATTGCATGATAGATGGCGCTAAACTCAATTTATGATTGCGTATCAAACGTAGACGGGATGTTAATTTTTACATTTAATACAACTATACTGTATTATACTTTTTTAAATACACTAACTACACTTTATATAAAAATTCTTATTATTTTATAAATTTGTAATTAAAGTACATTCAGGCATGATATAGCCAGCAGACGCAGACGGCTTCTAGTCTTATAGCCGAATTGAACCAGAAGTAATGTTGCCTTAAGAAATAGTTAAAGATGGACTGAATGAATGCGGATCTGCTAGTAGACCAGTAAGCAGTGAAATGATGAATGATCCAATAGAGCAATGCCCTTGTAAAGTAATTTAAGTCTTCTCCTTGAGTGCAAGATTATGGTGTGGAATTGATTTTTACTTCACACTTTATTTGTTTAGGTTAGTTAGTTAGTTTAGGTTTGAAAAATTGGCATTCTCCTTTTATCATAACGAAATATGGAGGCTTAAATTTATTCTTACGAAAAATCCTACGCTGGATACTTCCTATGACTAGCCTGGAGCAGAAGCTCCGAAGGAAACTCAAGGATCTAAATAAATTCAAAATGTACAAGTGCTACTACATACATATATTATGTAAGAAGCGAAGCGGTAGCCTGTTGATTAATATTAGGTTTGACATGTACGACTAAGTGTGAAAATTGTATAACGCGCATCCAACTTTAACAAAAAGCAACAAACGCTGGTCCATCCCTTAAATTGACTGGACTGGACTCCTGCTGAATTGGAAGCATCTGAAAAAGTTTCAGCTACACACGACCAGCGTCACATTTTAGATCATAATCTAATTTTGCTACTACCGGATATAGGATCTTTGTTTGGATTCTTGATATTAATTAATCATTCGCTAAGTGTCCAATAGATTGATGACCTACAGCATCGAGTTCGATGACTGCGGCCACAGACTATGTAACATCGAGGTCAGGTTGCTCTGACAAAAAATCTTAAGATAGTTTTGTGCCCCGGCTTTCATTTTTATGCACCAATAAAATGCATTAAAAAATCTTGTTCTAGATGATTTCCTATTGCTTTGTGAACGGTCACTATTCAAAATGCTGTCACTGTAATACTTAGAAAACTCCTAAAAAAAATATATAGCAACAATCAAATATTATTCTATATTTACATATGTATCTGTCTAACTGATCCGTTCGCGTAAATAACACGTTAACCATCTTAGTAGTGTTTTTTAAAGGTTGTTAGAAAAGAATTAGTTAACACTAAAACCCACAGTTTGACATTCATCAAAGATTTTTATTTTTTAGCAGATATTTTAAGTTAAACGTTATCATTGCTATCAGATATTGATTATAAGGAGAATATTATTAGATAAGTATCTAGTCTTTGGAATATTATTATTATAATTAAAAGAAAGTTTTTAAATAATCTTAAAGTGAACAAACATAAATCAGTAAAACAATCTTTAAACGAATGACACTTTTAAAATTTACTTTTACCTCCCCCCCCCCCCTCCTACCCCTGCCCTGCTCCCAAGACAAAGGCATGAATAGATTTTCTTAACCCCCCCTCCCTGGGGAATGAATGACCTCTTGTTGGTATGTAAAACACTTCTCTAATTTCTCTAAATATGCAATTACTGCTTATTCTATGGCTGTATCGTTTTGTGTGCCATTGGGCTAGATCAGATAGCCCTGACTATGGCATACTGGTTGATCTATTACGTCAATAGGAATAACTTGAAACTGTGTGTGTTACAGTTATACTCCATATTCAATGCACTAGTTTCGAAAGAAAATCGTGCTAGAGACAATTCAAGCAAATCGACAACGTTCTGATATGACTATGCTACGCTCTAATAGGCAACACAAATTCTCATTCATAAACTAAACTTATTAATAATACCCACATTGTTAGAAAGAAAAGAATATTACTAGTAGTGAGCTCGTGTCCATAATATTTGTGTGGAAGTAATTTTTCATGCTCAATATAAGTAAATGTTTACTAGTCCAATCTCAGTTGCGTGTTTGACCGCTCACCGCGAAGTTGTACACTGATAACACGTCTTCAATACAGTGAAATTATAACTGATAATTTCAATTAACAATTATGGGAAAAAGTGAGTAGATGTTATTTTGAAATATCGTAAAATTTATAAATCTGTATTGTGTGATATCCGTTTCATATTTTTTTTAGATTAACTGACAATAATGGTTTTAAGCATTGTGGAAACGGTACTTTTAGTTATACGACTATACTTACAAATTTATTTTGTAGATTAATTTATTGGACAAATCGAATACTACCGGCAACATTAAGTGTTATTTCTCTTAGTTTTTTTTTATTGAGTCTTCATTTATTCACATGAAATACATACATATAATTATGTCTTGTATGTATTCTTTGTTTGGGCATAAACTTGACACGGACTTTATTTGTTTTTGAATGTGGCAATACTGTCAATAGTGACGAGCTTCGATTATATTTTCAATTGTATTTTTGATCGATCGGTGTTCTAACTGCCGACTACTTTTATCAATAAAGTTAGAAGAATGGAAGGCTACTGTTTGATCGTTAATAGTAATTTGTAAGTGTAACCTGTGTGTGTCCTAAAGACCTTAACTTTTATAATGTGACATTGTACCACATGAGATTTGAATTTAATGGACCTTTTTGAGAATTCTAAGTTATATATTTATATTAATTTATTGCCTTAAAATTGGAGAGCAATGGAAAAACTTTTAGTTCCGCGTACTTTTCGTAAAATAATGTCAATGTTAGTTTCTAACTATGCTTATTTTGTTATTAATATTACAGTTATTATTACAGTTAAATTGATCAATAAAATAAAAAAAAATCTAGGGGTATTTTATTATTTTTTCAGAATTGAATAAAAACTTTATTTTTTTAGTAAGCTACATCTTATACTTAACTATAAAATTGTTGAGTTGTTTTGTGTAAGTTTCATGACCTAATAAGTTCTGCAGCGATTAAGCTCAAATTATGACACAATGTGGGTGACTTACAGCCTGCTTCAAACATTATTCTTGTCAATTTTTCAAGTCAGTTTGTCAGTTTTTTCCTAATTTCTCATCAATGCAACCGCAAAGTGCCACAGCGAAGCTTGGCAGGGTATAGCTAGTTTTATATAAAAATCGAAAAAGTCCATGTTTTATTGTTATCGTAGTACCTCTACTAGGCCTCTGATATCATGGGGGGCAAGTGTATTTCCCCTGGGATAGAGCCTGATTGGGCATGCTGTCGATTCGGCGAGGACATCAAATAACATGGTCCTGGTCCTTCCAGAGTAACCGAGGGTGGCCGTCGGGGTGGTTTCCTGAGTCCCCGAGGAGCATGGGATCCGAAGGGATTTCCCACCCCGTCAACAGAAAAGAAAGGCCTCTGATATCATACTAAGATTGTTGTTTAATAATATCTCGCAATACCTATGAATGCCGACCTTTGTATTGGTTTCCCCTTATTTGTCTTTAGTTGGATGAAAAGAAACATTAATAAAAAAATACTTTCAAAAAGATATATGTGCGACAAAAAGTTTGTTTAATCCGACCGGAAATAATGGCTTTGACACGGAAGATAAATATTCATAAAAAGAAAAAATATTACTAAGTAGTCAATTTAATAGCCGGAAGTGCTTTAAAAATAGAGTGCGTGTTTTTATGCGGATAAACAGCAAAAAAAAGCAATAATAATTATAATTCAAGGGCTATAATTAATAAATATCGTTAATACCAACTTACATTATATCAGACATTCAATTCAATATAGCAATTCAAATTTAACAGCGCTCATTTAATTAATTATCATAAACACAAAAATAGACTTAAAAGTATATCACTGGACAATAATGGGGTGTGATGTCATACGTACAAGTTCCTAAGTTCCTATACGTACGTGTCTTTTAATAAGGGTGAAGAGAAGTTCACCAGACAGTCTTCCCTTCAGCCTCTTAATATGCTTTTAAATAATAATAATAACTTCAGACATCTCACACACAGCAGTTTGATCAGAAACTAGGTCGATCATTAACATACCTATATATTTCTAAATATGTACGTGCATAGATAAATTATACCGAGACTTAGAACAACTGATCATCCTCATGACAATTATTTGTCCTGGTTGGGAAGCGAACCCACGACTTCTGACTTAGCAGTCAGGGTCACTAACCACTAGACCCATAGGCCAGTCTTACCTTACCTTACCTTACTTTGAGAAATCCGAAATTAATCTTCAATCGCTGATGATAAAGCACTCGCATCACAAGCCATTTTACGGTGATAATGACAGAAGTTATTTTAGTAAATTTTTAATCAAAGCCCTCTCTATAATCTCTTTACAAATTAATAATTACAAGAGACTATGATTGAAAAAATGTTAGTATTCATTTTGAACATCGCGCATCGCCTTGTCATCGAGGCGCCATCCGAAAATCAGCGCTGAACGTCATATTGTTTAAACACGCCACACACACCACCTTTTGTTTCTTTTCCTTTTCTCTTCTTTAATATGGATTTATGTAATTATGACTTTTAGATATATTTTTTATATGAATTAAACTGTGCGTTTTCTAAATAAATGTTATTTCTTATTTTCATTCTTTAGGAAATTAGTTTTGAAAATACATTGATAGTATTTCTTCGAGCATCAAAGTTTCCTTTCCTCGTGATTTAAATAATTTTAAAAGAAAAATACTCATACATTATCACGTCCTTTTTTGGACACGAACAGTTAGATGCTATATTCTTTTAATGATATGACATAGGTATTTTATCATACGGGTTTGCGTACACGGGTCGTCATGTGATTGACATTTAGGAGACTTCGATTTTAAGGACGAACATTCTGTTATGTTTAGTTCTTACTTTAAACAAAAAAAAAATATATATAGCGTAACGTATAAATTTCTAGTGAGAGAGATATACACCATGGCCCTCTCATCCAAAACTAGGCAGTGTCAGAGTCTTTTCAAGAGCGTAGATATTATAAATAAATAGATTCTTTAGGAACATAATTAGGAATCTTCTATCTATATATAAATAACAATGTTAAGTTGGTTTGTGTACGCTATAAAAACTCAAACTGTTTTTCACCGATTGAGCTGGGACACGTTATACAACCCGCTTCAGAGATGGATTTTATCTACTTTTTGCAACCACAATGCGCCAAAGCAAAGCGTGGCGGGGTAAAACAGGCTGGTGCATTATATAATCACAGGTTCGGTATCGTGTACTAAACTCGTTTAAACGTGGTATTATATATGTATGATAAAGTAACAACTAACTATCTTTGCCAAAGGAATATATTCTTTAGCGATTGAGTCGAATTGAGTGAACCTTCGGCGAAAGCAGTTGTAACTTAAATAACCTAAAACGTACTTAAAAAACTTTAAAAAGAGTCAGAATTAAAACCGAAAACATTTATTTTTTAATTTTAAATTCTTTGCTCTTTTGCATTTTTTTATTTTATTATAAAAATGCATACATGTAATAAATATATCGGTTTGAAAGTAAACTACTGTTGCATCGGATCGCAATATACATAATATAACATCGATTAATTTTTTGTAACATGTTTTAGATGCATCAAGTCAATAAAAATTTAACTTGGTATAAGAATTAACTAAAAGTAATTTCTATCAGCCTAAATCATCATCATCATCATCATCTTAGCCGAAAGACATCCACAGCGGGACAAAGGCCTTCCCCAACAACTAGTCCTGTATTGCCCGTATCCAACGGCCTCCCGCTGTTAGATGTTGTTACCCTAAATACTTAACTACAAATTAAATAAAAAAATCTCTTCTTTCAGTAGCGAAGCACATGCTGACGGATCTGGACAAGTTACCCGGGGTGCAGCTGGGTGACTTCTTGTTGCAGTTTGAACTCGACGACCCAAGGGAGTCTGTTCAAGAAATCGCCAGAAAGGAGCTCAGAGAAACTCCCGAAATTGTTGAACCTGCAATTGAAGAGCTAAGGCGACTTCTTGAAGGTAAGCTGACACATGGATGGGATGAGATATATTATATATGAATTTTTATTCCATAATTTTTTTCTTTCTTATGAAATTCAATGTTTGAATATAGAAGACGAGAGTAAATAGGCTGCATGCTTTTACTGGTCACTATCAATTGAGAGAAACGGTTACATAGAACGTTTCCTTTTTATATTAATACCTAGTACTTAAATATCATCACACCTTATAGTTATTTGTAATTTTACAATATTGTCTAATGTCAGCTGTCGAACGTAAAGTTATTCCTAAGCAGAATTGCTTATCTCGTGGCACATACTAACGTTAGTTGTCGGTACGTTACGATTCAAAAAAGATACATTTTAATAAAGGAAAATAAAGGGTTGATTATTTAGTATTATATATAGAAGTATACTAGAAGACAACTCTGAAGATCGGCCGGTACTGTTCCTTCCTGCTGCACTTTAACGGGCCTCAATTTTTACTATCTGCAAACATGCATACTTTACATATGTATATATATATACACATATGTACCTTACATATGTAGACTTCCTTTATTTATTACTAGTCGACGTCAACCAAAAAAGCAACAGTCCTTCGAAATTTGTACTATGGAGCAATGAAATGTTAAGTCTTAATTAATTGTATTATATATTTATATTATATTTTATTTAAATTCTAAACCAGGAAAAGATAGTGTTTTATTTTAACATTTTGTATGTAAGGAGAGGCCTATGTCCAGCAGTGGACTATTAAAGGCTGATGATGATGATGATGATGTATGTAGAACATACATGTTATCAAGGTAGATCGGAAAATAGATGAATTATCTTACGTCTTATTTCAATTATGGTTTGGTAAATAAATTATAAAATATATGTAAACTGATTCATTCATTCCTTAAACTAATATTACATGAGTAACTAAATTTAAATGAGATTGCGTACAATTAAATCCAAGGACACAGGGTTATTTTTTGTGTCTAAAAGACGATATTTGATTATTAGTATAGCGCACTTCCTTGATACACATCAATACCGGCCGACTTGATCGGGCTAATACGGCCACGGCCTTAGAGAAAACCTGTGTTATCTACTGTTTTTTAAAAGCTAACATTCTCGCATTAAGAATATATCTCTTTACAAACAATTTGTGGATCACACAGTGTTGTCCCATTTGGGGATCGGACCCAAAACCGCGTAAACCACTAGATACCAATCAACAAAGAGCGACTCGAATCGTCGATAGCCCAAACATCTCCGATCGGCTCGATCCCTTGACGTAGAGATGTGGCTTCACTCTGCATTCTCTATCGCATATATCATGGAGAGTGCTCCGAGGAATTGTTCGTTCTAATACCAGCCGCAACTTTCCGCCATCCCATCCCGCACAACCAATCTGTGGAACGGGTTATCGTCTGCGGTATTTCCGGACCGATACGACCTTCAAACCTTCAAGAAAAGAGCGTACTCCTTCCTTAAAAGCCAGCAACGCGTTTGTGACTCCTGAGTTGCAGACGTTCATGGGCGCAATGGTCACTTTACATCAGGTCTACTCGTATGATCCCTCTAACATAAACAAAAAATAAATAAAAAAAAGGTGCTTAATGCTTTTTATCGAGCGACTAAGGGCCGGCGATGACCGAGAGGAGCGCAGCGGAGAGGATTTTTTTAAGACACTCGAAAATAAACTGTAAGACTATTGTTATAAAGTGAATACACCCGGCGCGAGGCAGCGCGGGCATTTTTTGTTCAAACATGTAAAACACCACTCCTACTCCTCCCGTGGATGTTGTAAGAGTCGAATAACGGAGCAAACTATGCAAGACAACAGCACTGCAAAGAGAAGGAAAACTTGAAACAAACCCTATACCAACGCATCTAGCCAGCGTGATATACTAAGTCAAAACCTCCTTCCTAAAAAGAGGCTAGTCGACTACTGAAGGCTATTGAGGATGATATAACAAAAAAACTTAGGTTAACGTTTCTCTTTGTTAGAAGGTCATCAGCATCTTTAAATATTGGGTATATTTAAAGATTCTCCGTTTCTTTCTTCATGTATCCCTGTGGATAATCAGAAAGTGCAGAGAAGCACAGTGAGGTTTCGGACGAATTAGACTGAGTATGTTTGTCGCGTTCGTAAGTACCGTAAATATTCGCGTGATGGTCTAACAATTCTTACATAGACCTAATAATTTAGTAACGTAAACGTAACATAACGTAAGTACAATTTTGACCATAACCCTTCGTCTTATCTAGATTGTTGTTTGCCTTAAGGGCACGAATACTCATGCATGCGCATCTAACGAGTTTTCTACAAAACGCTGCTAACACAATAAATTTTTATTTATGAAGGATACATAAATTTTCATTATACAATTATAATAATAAATTGGTGCTATATTGTAATACTGAGTAAGGCTAATTAAAGGTTAGTCATTACTATTTAAGTATACGATACAGGTACCTAAATACGCAATTAATATTAAATATTTATTATAAATTTACGCTGATAATTTTCAAGGTAATTTATTCACCGAATAAAAAGGAAGTGAGACTTATTTGTTTCAAAACAGTTACCCTGACTTTACAGAAAATAAAATTAGGACTACATTTAAAACATAAAAATAATATAGAGTAGGTGATTTGATCGTAAAAGCCAACATAAAACGACACAATAACAACATAAACCTATCCTATCCATATTTGTTTCCTGACTTACACGAGGCAACAATAAACTTCTGTAATTGACTTATATGATTTACCTGTACACCAATTATACGACCATGACTTTTGCTATGGGTTTATTTAATTATATTGTACGCAAACGACAAACGGGTGTTAATGATTCGTTTCTATATCCGTGTGCTTAACTGAGATAACATATACGACGCGACGGTTGATTGTGATGTCAAATCAGCCTTTCTATATATACATAGGTTTATTTTATGAAAGAACAAATTGTGATGTCATACTTCGGTTTGGTTTTACTAACCTAACTGACTGACTGATAGCTGAACCGCACCGAATCTAATTTGCAACACTTAATTTTATGAGACATTACAAATGATTCTCTCATTTAAAATAGAATTAAAGTAGTAGCAAGAATATCCATTCAATACAAACTTGATGACAAAAGAAACTGCGATGTGATCGCTAATGGTGATGAGTCGGTGATCACCAAAGTGTATGGCAGTTTGCACAACGTTTATATTTTCTATTCATATTGTCTATGTTATAAAACGTTTAACTGAGATGCCCAGATTTCAATTTGGTTTAAACGTCTAGTTTAACCAGTTTTCACTGATTAACATCGGTTCTTAGGTAAGGTAGGTGACGCTATTTGCCTTATACGGACAAACTTAGACAAAAGATCAGATTTAAAATAATATATATAACATGGCAGTCTGTCGTTACCAACTAATTGGTATTCTACAAACGGTTATTATTACTGTTATAATTATTATTATCATTCTCATATCTCTCACACGGCAGTCTGGTCCAAACTAAGCAAAGGACTACGGAAACCAGACTTCTGATAAACATACTAATAAATTTCTAAATACTTACATATTATAGATAAATTACACCCAGCACAGAACAAATGATCGTGCTCATCACACAAATATTTTTACTGGTTGGGAATCGAACCCACGACTTCTGGCTTAGCAGTCAGGACCAACAATCACACAGGCCAAAATCATATCTTACATATTTTATAAGTAGTATGGCATCATCATCATCATCAGCAGTCCACTGCTGAACATAGGCTTCTCCCGTTGCACGCCACTTAGATCGATTGTAGGCTTCTCGCATCCAACCTCATTTAGCCTTCTTGCGCAAATCTTTTTTTTTCATAGAAAATTTTGTCAAGACGAGACCATACGACTCGCAAAGTCAAAAAGTTATCAGATCTCATGTAAAGCCAAGCTTCTAACTCTGACAGGCCCTAACAAACTGTAGAGTTTGTTAGGGCCTGCCGGCCCGGCCCGAAACGGCCAAGCCGCATATTTTGACAAAGGTGTAACCCTTGGTCAAAATATGCGGCTTGGCCGTTTCGCTTAGCTCGTCTCGAATGAAAGGTTATACGACTCTTTGCTAACGTTAACGTTAACGTATACGGGAAAGACCATGGGTGAGAGAGCATTCTTTATAAATGTCACAATCAGGAAATCGGGTTCTAATGCACTCGGAGCACTTATCCTATAGTTGTCTTTGTTTTTACAGAATCTACGGAAAACTACTCGGTTCTTTTGTTTGTCTATCTGATTATTGACAAAAAATCATCTTGGATAATAATTATCGTTATGGGAAAATGAGATAAAACACATAACTTAATTAGTCGAACGTGTTAAGATAAATATGTTATAAGTTAGGCTAACATGCTTTATCATGATGAGAACAAAGATAGATTACAAACGTACATTAATTTAATAATTTTAAGAAGTAACGATAAAAAAGACACGAACTTTGAATATGTATTTATGGGTTTACAAAAAACATCCAGTTAAATTACCCATAAACGAAGATAACATCGGAACGGGGATGATAGAATTTAAAGGAGAAACATAGTAGTTTATTACTATGGGAAAATCTCTTATTGTAAACTGTACCCGCGATCACTTTAAAAATGCGGTCTTTCAATCACTGAACATAATCACTGTGGAGGAAAAGATATTTATATCCCAGTATTGTATGAATAAAGGTTGATGTTTGTTGCGCTTTAAATTGATTTTTTCTTCAATAAAATAAAATCAGTCAGATTATGCAATCGATATTTTTAGTACGATTTGGTCATCAGTACATTTCTGTAACTATAAAATATCAAACGTCACGCTATTAACAAACGCATGCTAGATGAAGAATGGTATAGAGACTTCAATTCTGAAAAATGACAGAAATCGTAATAATAAGTCATGTGCGCCGGCGTAGGCTCCGCCACATAACACGCTTCATTTCAAACAAACGCGTGCAAAATCGCTTCTCCGTCAACGCACTCATACAACGCCATATGTTTGTTCTCCATAAATGAGGCCTAACTGGGCAGAGCCTGTGCTATGCTATGGCAATCTATAATAATTTAAAGTACAAGAGTATTAATTTTCTTCTCTTTCATCGTCATCTTCAGGACGTTTATTATGTATGGGTCTGAATTCTCATTTCAGGTATAAATCACATTATTACATACTCATGTTACAGGGATCCGTCATCCTAGTTATAATCATGATAGAAAAATAAGTATTTGAAAACTTACACATTAAAAAGATAAAAGAATTAATTATTTTTCTACTTAAAATCTACTTTCAAAAAATTAATATATACAATAAGTATTTCATTTAATGAGTTTTTAATTACACAAAGTAAGTATTATAAAATGAATTTATTAAAAATGCGTTATTAAGAATATGTTTAATTAATAAATAATATAAATTATTCAAAATTCAAGGTAGTATTCACGGTTGACCTTGCATTACAGGACGTATGGCTGAGCGCTGCGTACTCACCGTCCTCTATCGCAAAAACGGTGGTACGCATGAAAAAATGTTAAAAAAAAAGATTTGGCGCACGATTTTATGATTGATAAAAACATGAGTGGAGCAATAGAAACCGAGATAACCGCGAAAGACTAAATGTTATTGTGACGGAGGTAAGGACTGGTTGTCCCTCGCCGCTTTTGCTGAACAAACAGAAATCCAAACAAGAGATTTTTTTTTAAAGTACCGCAGCGCTATATTCCATTGGTAGTCATATTTTTTTATGGAATAGGTGACCACCGCCGTCTATTAATAAATGCAACTGAAGAGTGCGTTATCTCCCTTTGAGCGGCCCTCCCTCAGAATTAGAGAGAGAGGAAGGGCTCCGGTAACTTCACTAACTAACGCAAAAATAAATTGTTAAGTATGGGTTTTCTATGAGGTCTAGCCGCCCGAAATATGCTAAAGCATGGGGATGATTCTTCGCTCTTATTACTTCTGCGTTATTACCCGTATTATTGGAACCAAGTTCCTTATGGCGCGTTACACGCTCTGAGCGGATGGGAGCGAGACCGAAAAAAGTATATCAAGACTTTATTCCGACACTACGTTTGGCGCGTCGACCCTTACATCTTTTTCATTTTTCAAATATATACATAGAAAACGTCTACCAAAAAGCGAAAGGAACTTCGTTCCGACCATAGACCCCTCACGCCGTTTAAACTTTGAAAATAAATTATTTATTAAAATATATATATATAAATAATTCAGTATTTTAGAACAATTACCAACGGTTAATTTTAAATTCTGCAAGAGGTGAATGACGCAGAAAACCAAAGAAATAAGAAGAACGAATATTTAACCGGTGCCCTTACACTGTGACAGTAGACTGTATATGAAAACCATTAAAAAGAACATACATCAGAATGAAATTCTACGTTTATACTGGTTTATACAAACGAAATCATGCATATTTGAACATTGTACCTTACGATGATAGGACAATATTAGCTTGTAATAAATAATTGTGCTAACAATAGATCAATTAACGTGTAAGATGCTTCGTCTAAATATAGTTAAAACAATACGTTATGAATATTGACACAACCAATTAAGGTATACGATCCGTATACTTAGCATTCTATTTCTAGAAAAAAAAATGACATTGCTTTAAATTATCTACTTAATAGAACTTTGACACTCATCAAGAGCCTATCCACGTACCTAGAGCCCAAAGTGGTAGTTCTATACGATAACTCTCAAACGTCCTTTCACATTGGTGAAGTAACATTTATTCACAAGACCACGGCTGACTAATACCTGCTACTAGTTTACTTGTGAAGAGTCGTTAGAAGGGTGGCCACTTTCATGAAACACTGATGCTGTGGTTTGAGTCCTAATAACTATTGAATTACTACATTTAGATTAAAAGTAATTATACGGTTTTATTCACGTGTATATTTTTGTGATGCACAATGCAAATGCTAATATTAGTTGTGAGGCATTGGTATTAGACCAATAGCTTGACTTTACAAGTCATGTAACTTTGCTTTTGTGTGCTTTGGATGTGTGTTTTTAAGTATCGGTACTTTATTTTTACTAATTTAGTTGAAAATAACATATATTACTTGAATAACTGTAGTTTAGGATGAAGCAAGAATTACGATTCTCAGAAATATAATATAGACGAGTACAGATGTGTTATTTTTATATTCGTATATATTCTTATTAATCCTTTTATGTCATAAGTATCTATGTGAATCACGAAATGCGAACACGAATAAATAAAAACAACTACAAAAACTATGTAGCTACTAATTAAACTCGCATCAATTACAAAAAATGTATGTAAAAACAAAATTATAGACTTTTTAGTATCCATCAAATGTAATTATGATTTTGTTTCTTTGTAACGAGTTCTTGTCTATTTATAGAAAATAATTAACGATTAGTTGCTGTCTAATTCTTGTAAAAAGAGTTTTTTACCTTAAGGTCGATCCTGCTCTTCCGCAATACGAGCAAAGCACGTTCGTTAAAAAATCTTGTAGAAAAATTAAACATTTATGTTTTTAATGCTTCTGATGCAAAAATATAATAATAAAAAATGTACAACTGTATAATAATATATTAGCGTGTTGTTTCTTACGTAGCTTTTTTATTTTGCAGATGATAAGGACTTGTTTGTGCCTTCTGACAACGAGGCTTGGTTGACCCGATTCTTGAGGCCCTGCAAGTTTTACCCGGAAAGTGCATACAGCTTGGTAACAAATTACTTAATTATTTGCTCAACAATGCTTAGTTAATTAAATCTATAATAGATTGTATACCATATTTTCTTAGCCTCAATTTTTTATTTTTTGTATTTTAATTAACTGCTATCGAAGTTAAAATACGGACCTAAATTATTATGCATGGTAATCCCAGGAAAAAATCTTTAAAGCATTCTAACACCTAAGACATACAACATTTCTTACGACATAGAACTCATAAAATAAAATCTTTACTCTATCTTGGGAACATTTAAATACCTAGAACAAAAACATTTTATTACTTCATATATTGCAATCGATCCTCATCAATCTATTTATATATAAATGTTAAGTTGGTTTGTGTACGCTTCAAAAGCTCAAAAAGTTCTGCACCGATTGAGCTGAAATTTTGACACGCGATAACCAGCTTCAAAGTTGGGTTTTATCTATTTTTCTAGACAGTTTTGTTCCTTTTTTTCCCATCAATGTAACAGCGAAGTGTGGCAGAATAAAGATAGTACTATATAAAAGAATATTCACGATGAATAAGATACATACACACTTCGGTCTAGTCTATAATAATATTTTTATATTCGCTCAAACCTCATACCTCCCTTTTCAACCTTCTAGCCTAGCAGTGCTAGAGAAACTAATTTTCAATTCATTATCTTTGTTGTTTACCAATCAGAAATTTTCCACATTTTTAGATAAAACGATACTACGCCTTTAAACAAAAGCATTCCAAACTATACGATGGACTGATTCCCAGTAAAGAGACGAACATTTTCAACCAAAACGTGCTGACGGTGCTACCCACACGAGATCAACACGGGCGTCGAGTACTGGTGCTGGAATTGGGAAGTAAGTACAGCGGTTACGACATCACGTAACTTCGGGATGTAGTAATGAGCCTGGGTAATAGGCACATAAATGTTACATATTAAACAAAAGAACAAATATCCAAACCCACAAGAAAGGAACACACACACACGCGCTCACGCACTCGAACACATACACACATACAATAACACTAACTTAGTAGCCTAGATTTCCTCAGTTATTACTAGAAACACGATACCACGTTTTGCAACATATTTTCTGTCACCCCTATTTTTAGGACAGTATTATAAGTTATCATTTCCTTTGAGATCTTACGTGAGTCAGCACTTTTTAGAAACGGTTTTTATAACCTTTAAAAACAACGTAATAGGTAAGTACAATTGAATAAAGGCATTATGGAATTTCTGAGTTTGCACCGTCACGCGCAGTGGCATAGATAATGATCGACAAATAATACGTTATACAGTACCACAAAGACGACAGGGAAAACTTATGACAATAAAAATTAAGTCTTCAGTATATTCTTTATACTTTTTTCTTTTCTTTTTCTTTTTTAAAAACACAAGTCCGGCACTAGGAATAAATCCTTTGTCGCGGGGGACTTTACAAACATATATGAAACGAACCCAAAAACACCCAGACGCAGAACAACAATTTTCGGATCACACAAAGCGTTGTCGAATGTGGGGATCGAACCTACAACACTCAGCGCAGTAGGAAGCGGCGACGTGACCGCTAAAACCACTACGCCATCAGTGCAGTGACACTGAATTAATTAATTCCATTATTATTGTATTCCGTATTCACGCATAATTATAGTTTAGTAGAACTATAATAACACGCTTGAATGGTGAATTGAATTACACAGCAAAATAAAGTTCCACTGTACACCTCCTGGCTTAAACCGTTACTACGACCGATCTGAAGTTCATAGACTCATTAAAACAAATGAAATGAGGCCAAACATTACAGCCGTCGGAGACGCATGCTTCGTCCAGAGACCATAGCAAGGCGCTAAGCAATTAAGGGGAGGAGGGCGTTTCCTCACTGATTGATTGAGGAACCCCCCCCCTTCCCTCCGGGTTACGGTTACCTCTCCCCTAATTCTGAGGGGGGGGTACTCAAAAGCATGGGCTAGCAGTACTGGCCGATATACATGGTGATATTGAAATGATCTGGTTAGAACTAAATCACATTTTTAAGGATTTTATGTGTTTCCTTCCAGTCAATTAGATGGTTGTATATCTACTTATAAACATGCACTATCATCTTATACCCTCTACAGCTACCCTGAAGTAAATATCTTCAATTGATCTTAAACACAATTACTTTTATTTCCAGAGAAATGGAAACCGAGCAAATGCTCGCTGGACGAATTTTTCAAGGGTTGCGTGTTGTTTCTGGAGGCGGCCATGTTGGAGCCAGAAACGCAGATTTGCGGTGCTGTTGTCATCTTCGACATGGAAGGCCTATCCATGCAACACGTTTTGCAGTTTACGCCAAGCTTTGCCAACCGAATCGTAGAATGGCTACAGGTAAAGCTTTATCTTCGTTTGTTTTCAATAGATATTAAGTCATTTAAAAAAAAAGAACCCGTGTAAAAAAAATTTTGGTTCTCTTTGCTTCTTCATCCAGAAAGTTTTGCACACGGAGAAATGTGTCATTAAGAAAACTTAAACGGCTACAAAACGATAAAAAGTTCCACTATGTATGTTAACCTATCAAAGTTATACGAGATACTTTGAGCTGTTTTAACAAAAACCATTTATTTTTATTACAGGAAGCCATTCCACTCAGAATCAAGGGCTTGTACATCATCAATCAGCCGTTTATTTTCGACATGGTCTTCAAGGTCTTCAAACCCTTCCTTAAAGAGAAGTTACGTTCTCGTATCGTGTTCACGGGCAGTGACAAAAAGCTGTTGCATGAGTACATCAGCCCGAAGTGTCTGTCAGATAGGTATGGAGGCACTCTCACAATACCCACGGTATCTGGAGCGCAGTGGTTGGAGCTACTGCTTATGTGTGATAAGGAATTTAGCGGTGAGTAAAAAAAACTACGATTTTTATATATCCGATCCGATCTTAATTGCATTTATATACTGAATACAGAGGCTGCCTTAAAAAAAAAATTTTAGAACACCAACTTACGTAGGTAGACTATTGAATGTTCAATTAATACGACAAAGTTCAAGGACACCTTGTTTTCTAGTTCAAATATGTTTTTGCATGAATTATCTTTAAAAGACATATAAGTAATCTAAATATGTCAGTACGTTATATGGCTCAAACTTTACAATTGTCACTCTTTAAAATTAGAAGCCGTATTTGCTCATGGCATGGCAACATAATGTCAACAAAATCTTTTCTTTTTCAAAATTACTAACCTAATAAAGAACTATTCACTATGGAACTAATACTATTAAACTATTTGGAAGTAATACTATTAAATTTCAAACTGCGATCTTACTTCATTACTCCCACTAAAGCATTCTTTCACTCGTCTCTACTACTAGATCTAGCTGAAATGTGTTCTTACGTGTTCTGATTAAGAAGTGATTACTAAGCAATGTATTACATATTATATATACATTCCTCAATAATCTGAACCGTCTGCTCTTCCATTTTTTTTTTAAATAATCAGATATTGAAATTATTAAAAGCTCAATAATTATACTGTCTAGTCCTAATTTACTAATGATACATTTTACACCATAGATTTTATGTCCTATCGAGAAAATTAGTGAGGATGGATTGATGTTAATTACTATCTAATTTTGCCCAGGATTATTACATAGGATACTGTTACCGCTATATGAAAGACTTGTGTCAACGAAGCCGCCTCCTTAAGCTACAAAACTATAAAATACTCTTAACTAGAATATATATAAGTTTATATATAGTATTTTACAATCATCATCAGGACGGGCCTGTTGGTCTAGTGGTTAGTAACCCTGACTGCTAAGCCGGAGGTCGTGGTTTCGATTCCCACCCAGAACAAATATTGTGTGATGAGCACGGTCAATATCTGTGTCTGGGTGTAATTTATCTATAATATATGGTATATTTGGTATTTAATTAAAAACATTAAAGCATTTTTATCAGTAGTCTGGTTACCATAGTACAGGCTCTGCCTAGTTTGGGATCAGACGGCCGTGTGTGAGGTATGGGAGATATTATTATTATCAACTGAGCCTATAACAGTCCACGGCTGGACATAGGCCTCTCTCCTTAGAAAGGAGGTTTGTGTTTTACAATACCTACTAGAAATTAGCCCAATCGTACTCACTCTTCCTTATTTTAGTCTTTACGATGCCTGGTAGTATATTTAGTAATTAATAATCGTTCTTTTGTTTCAGCTATTAACTCCTACGGATACAAAAAGAAGTGAATATATATTGCAGAAGTGAAATTGACGATTTTAAGCAGTGTGATAGTAATGTATTCATATCGTGATAATACCTTTATATTATTTTATATGTGTAAATGTAATTCAAAATTAGTCGCTAAGTCACTAAGATTAAAACTTTGTTAGGGCCAATTATATTGTATTTTATGTAGACATTGTTCGGTAGAACTGAAATTTATAATTCGCAGGCAAATAAGTCTCAGAAATAGAAATAGAAATAACAGTAACCCTATAGTGGGGTTTTAAAATATCAATTGCAGTGCCCACAGTAAAGAACTAATCTTTTTATTTTTAAAACTTAATTTTCCTTTACATAAATTTGTTTAGAACTTAAAACTTGAATGTGTCCAGATAGACTGTACCACTATAAAGCAAATAAAACAAAGGATCCTACTTTGTAAGGCTGGTGACAACAAAAACACATCTGACACACACAGCGATAGCGAAACAGTTTGAGTTGTGGTCAACAGTTGGACACAATTTATTTTATGCTGTCACAGCTTTGACAGTTCATCAGCACATATAAATGATGCCAAGTTTTGAATAAAGAACACTGTAGTAACACAGTACTTTTTGATAATTTAGTATAAAACCCTGTATTGAAATATAGTTAAATAAATGTTAAATATTAATGATAGACAACATACATAAATGAATACAAAAATAAAAGACAAGAAAATAGTTACTTTAATGTTAAATGTGAATTTCGTAATTTTTTTAATAAGTTATTAAAGATGTAGAAAATAAGTGTATTTATATTATGTATATATATGTATATATTACACGAACAGAATGTATATGTAAGTCTATGTAATTATGTTTAAAAAATTGCTGGCTGTGATTTCATGTATGTTATTGTATGTGAATTTATAACGGTTGAGCATGATTGCACAGGGATAAGTTTTTTTACATCCTATGGACTACAAAAGCAATGCTGCTATTTGATTGTCATTTATTACAAAATGCAAAAGTCTCACTGAAAATTAGATACCCAGTATCGAATTTCTTAAAATGGTCAGTTTACTCCTTTCACAGATATTCAAATGGTAAGGCATCTACGTATCTACGTACATATATCACCTCTTATGGTATAAACTTTTATACAATATACATGTTACCATTAAGCTGCTGTTTTGCATTCACAGTGATAGAACAAATGTAAAGTTATATCATCATGACATAATCGTACTTAAAATGGTATCTTCGTCAATCTTTTCAATGTCTCTAATACTCATACTAAACTTTAGCTCAGCACTTAGTGTCAATTTTAAATTTACTACGACATAGTCCATTGCTAGTTCGTTTATAAATTGTATTTATAAACTGACTAGCAATGGACTTTTTGAACAGGGTTAATCGGTGGGTTGACAGACTTCACCTAACTTCAAAAACGTTATGGGTAATTATCAAATGAGCAGGTTTCTTAACAGTGTATTCAACTGTTTCAAAGGAGGTTCACGTGAACAGCGAGGAGTCAGTGCGCAGTTGGGGAACGAATTCTGTAGGGTTTAATTGCTCAGGGTTGAATCAATTTGGGTATGCAACAGCTTTTGTTATTTTTATTTTTATAATTTACTTCAACAGAATATGTACGTAAAAATGCGTAGTTTAAATTATTTTTTAAAATTAATATTTTTTTATGAAATAAACGACATAGATAGTAAATAAAATTTATTTTATTTAAATTCTTCCTTAGTTTATATAGATACCAACCATATTGTACTTAAATTATTCTTATTATACAGCTATACTATCTTATCTAAATTACCAGATTCATTTTAATTGCTTCCAACATCATTTAATACATTATATTACACCCCAAGTATGTATTTTTATAGTTCAAAGTTTCTATAAATGTCGAATCATACATACAGCGTGCGGGGCGCGACGTCTTGAGCAGGTTATTATGTCAGTTAATATAGAAGATGTCATAGAGCCGTCGCGCTCGGCGGTTAGTACTGCTCACGCCGCGTCCTCGTCGTGCCCCGCTAGCTGTCTGCCCCAACCTTAAAAGTTCTATCAATAATTTAATATAAAAATTTAATCTAAAATTAGTCTAATTACATGATCTTTAATATATATGAGAAAGATGCGGAATATATGCTTGCCCGTAATGTACTTTCATATTAGAAATACTACAAATTAAATATTATATTATAATAATAAATAAAATGTTTCAAAATTATATTTATTACATTTTATTTCATATTCTCTAAGAGGAAACAGTCATTCAAGTATGTAAGCAACCTCTCAATATGTTAAGACCCTCTCCCCGGATGTAAAAAATAAAATAAAAGTAAATCTCGAACTGCGAATCTACATCACTAAATATATGAAGGGAATTGATGACGTATGCGATGACGTGAATGACATGTGTACCTTTTCTGTAAGATGACGTTTTGTAAGACTGTGTGTATACCAAAGAACAAACACACATTTTATAATTTAATCAAGGCGTCGAATACTGTACAGGGAGTTCATATTATTTGTACGAAGTAATAGATTATCCGCATCAAACTAAAATAATTTATCATATACGTATATTTCTGTACTTCAATTAAATACTGACAGTAAAAGCCTCTCTTAATTGTATTGACATACTGCTGGTAGTAAACCCTACAATCTGTTTAATGGCTATAAAAATAGTTATACTACGATATATCTTAATATCTAAATCTTACATGTCATGGCAATTTTTTTACCGAAAATCCATATTTTTTTTATTTATTGTTATTGATCTTGGTGTAGCCGTAGGAGTCCGCCACTGAAATATAAAAAAAACATTTAATTTGAAAAAAAAATGTATTCACAATTACAAAAATTGTGAAAAGAAAATCGTAATAGAACGGAACGTAATTAGTGACACTCAAATAATTTATTTTCATAAAAACAAAAAAAAACAATTTTAACATAAAAAGCAAAACCGATTCAATATTTATTAAAAATAAAGCAACTAGAAACCATTTAAATACTGATTCAAAACAATATTAAAATGGTCAAAAATATAGTATTTGTTTTCTAACATGGTCATCCATCTGACCAGCGTGGTATTGGCAAAAATCTCTTTTCTAAGTAGAGGCCTATGTCCGGCAGTGGACTATGAAAGGCTGTTGATTATCTTCATCAACAACCTATAGAAGTCCACTACTGGACATAGGCCTCTCCCATTGTACGCCACTTAGATCGATTTTCGACTCCCCGCATCCAACTGTTGATGCTTACATTTAAAGTCTTCCTCGTAATGATGTAGCATTTTCCACAGAACGTCTCCACTAATTTCAGGATCCGGCAATAGTCCCCCATGCCGTTTTCTCAGCACTTTGGGATCAACATGCTTCATCAAAGACTCCATATTTGTACCGTGGAAATAGACTCGCGAACGTAACTTCTCCCTCATGAACGGTTTGAAGATGGCAAACAGCATGTTGAAAATGTAAGGCTGATTAATCACGTGAACTGCTTTCACTCTTATTGGTACGCATTCCTGTAATACAAAAAAAAGCTTTGTAAAAAAAAACAATCATGCGTCGTGAAACAGTAGCGCAGCAATATGCTGCTGAGGTTATATTTTTTTATTAAAATACTATCAAGAATTAGGTAATTTGAGCATTGTAGCACATTTATATTAAGAATGCAACCTTAAAGTCCCGATTTGAGTAAAGGATATTGAACCAGAAGTATTTTCTGAAGCTACTCGTGTAGGACCTACAGAAAAACGATTAAAGCTGATTTGACGTCTATTCGAATTTTAAACAAAGAACATTGCCGCAAAAAGAAATGTATGACTATGTGCTTACCTATTACTTTATGTTACATGAAGTAAATTATTTAATACATCTTCGTAAGATAGCCAACGGACGACTTCTATGAGAACTTAAGTTCTACAAGAAGCCATCTAAACTTTATTTTCATGTAAGCAATTTTTTAAAGTTGTTATTGTAATAATAAACAACTTAATATAATTTAACAGTTAATGTATAAAACAGTTAGGTTAAATCATTAAATATTAGATCACTGTCAATACTGTCATGTTGTCAATTTCAAAGAGTTCATAAAATGTATATGGTTGTTAAACAATCAACGTTATAATATATTAAACATCAATGATAAATTATTGTTAAGAAACTGTCCTGTTTATCCAGCGGTTAGAGATTCTGACTGATAAGTCAGAGGTCGTATGTTCGATTACCACCTAGGACAAATATTGTGTGATGAACACGATCATTTGATCAGTGTCAGGGTGTAATACACATTCATAAATATATAATAATAATATTTTGGACATCTGACACACAACGTCATCTAGTTTCGAACTTAAATAACCTTCTACCGATTGTATTATTATAGCTTATTTATTAAATGATTAGATTGACTAATAGAATACTTATTTACTTTTTTTGCAAATACCGTTAGGTGACGGATTAAGAATACAAGGAGTGTATTCATTACGTGGGTGTCGTAAGAGCCGAATAAGGGAGAAAACTACGCAGGACAACAGCACTGCAAAGAGAAGGAAAACTTAAAACAAACCCAATACCAACCCGTCTGGCCAGCGTGGTATAGTAGGGCCAAAACCTCCGTTGTAAGGAGAGGCCTATGTCTGGCAGTGGACTGTTAAGGGCTGTTGATGAAATACATACATATTTTACATAGAAAACACCCAAATTCAGAAACAAATATTTGCAGATCTTACAAACATTTGGACCGACTCGGAAATCAACCGCGAGACCTCAGCACAGCAGTCGCATACGCTACCACAGCAGCACTGAGGCAGTCATGAGTATATTTATGTATGGGCAGTATCTAAAATATTTATGTATATTTAGAAATGTATGTATCTATCAGGGCCCCAATTATACTATTTTATGGTAAAGTACAAGCCACTTTTATTTCATTGACACGCTATTGAGTTGCCATTGGGATCTGCCAAAATATCGGTATTCTACTAATTTACAAAAAATTTACAGTGTCAATAGACTGTCGATGTATGGACAATATCTCATCAATGGTGATATCAACAACATTGGAATATCTGGCAAATTAAAAATATAATTTCCTTACAAATTTAAATTATACCATTTACCAAACTATTACAAAGACATCGACGACATTTGTATTAGTGGCAGTTCAGTGATACAAAATTAAAATAGCAGAATTGAGGCCCTGTTTGACGGCACTAGGCCTGCTACCTATTAAGTAAGTAATCTGAGTATTTTTAGTGCCGAAAATTACAGTCAGCTATGTTGGTGACTAATACGCCTTTGTTCACCCCTTTGGGGACATAGACGTGAGTTTATTTATGTATAGGTTTGTTGGTAAATTAGACATTCTAAATTTATACAATTTTGCATCTTCTTATATTCCGCAAACACATCTTTTACACATGTCTTCTAAACACAGTTATATTAACATACCATTCATGGTCCTCCGAACCTAAAGTAAGCTAATGTTATAATATAATGTAGATATGTAGATAACCGATAGAAAAAAATCTTTGAAAAATAAAGATTTTGTTATTACAATGCGAAAATTATATAAACGAGAATGAGAAAATATAATTTGAGATGTTATCAGAAAACTAGTTAATGACTTAAATAGTCATGAGTGTGACGCATTTTCAATAAATATGCAGCCACAACTGGTTCTTACACGAACTAAGGCCGTCTTAGGCCATGCCGGGCACCCGAGCACTCAAGAATTTTGGGCCCTGTTGGACACTAAAACAAATAAATAAATAGGTACATACAGGTATGACTAATATAAATAAAGGTGTTCATTAGATAAACAGGCTTGAATGGATAGTTGTAATCAATTAAGATTTTGACAATTACTTCTTTCGAGATATCTGTTATGCTAAATCTTCTGTTGTATCTTAGTCTGTCAAAGTCTATCACTTTCACTTTTTACTTGAGGATAACAAAATTTGATTACCAATGCTTACGAACTATTGTAGAGGAGAGTGTAGTACCCGTAGAACCAATTGTAGTAATTGGTATAATAATTGGTAAAATGGTTTTGGACGGGTGAACTTAAAACATGAACTACTTAAAACATACTTTAAAAAGGCTTTTCTAAATTGTTATGTTTTACAAATTCTTTGTGAACTAGGCCAATTTCATCATTATTATTAAAAATTAAAACAAATATTCAAATTTATGTTTTGTTTTACATGTTTTATTACTAGTTTATCCCCACCTTTCAGGTGTTCTTAGAACGGTACATGCACCAACTTAAAAAAATTAAAAAAAAAGTTGTAATTATGGGTAAAGAAAAACCAGGCTATTAGTAAGGCGATTTTACAATCCAACAAAAAAGTTTATATGGTGGCGAAACAGAGAACCATTTCCTATTTGGAACGAATGGCAATGCTACATTTTCTGTCACATTCCGCAATGACATTGTGGCGACTTTATGGCAACGCTGAGAAATAACAAGACAATGGGAGAGATATGTCCATGTTATAATTCCTTTTTGTATGATCATATCGATTTACAATTGAAAGAAAATTGTATAGCATAAGCGAATATATCGCTCTATGTTTTCGCTTTTCGCAGCGGTTTATGGTAAAGACGGTACTGACAAGAACTTCGAAAACTATCGAAGCATAATTGAATTGAATAATTTAATTGAATTGAAATTTACATATTTTCACTAACTTTGGTTCTTTGATAATTTTATACTATACTATAATTTAGATTAATATTTAATTAATCTGATATACGCTAATCTCACTGATTACACGATTATTACCGTCTTTTGATTAATCTTTGCTAAGGAATAGGGATATAACGTTATTATGTTTATTAGATTTTAAATAACCTTCTACCAAATGAGCACCTTCATTAATCAGCTAAAAAATATATATCGGTACTTACTTAGGACTTTTTATTAATTGATAAGCTATGTGTTATTTTTTAGAAAAGAGAATAGTTTGCTCTACTCGGTATCTCTTCTATCGGTCTATATTTCAGTCGAATGGCTTGACCGGAGTGATACCACGGGGTTATGCGCACTTCGTCCTATTCGCACTTCGTCCCATTCGCACTTGGTCCCATTCGCGTTTTGTCCCATTCGCAGTTCGTCCCATGCAAGTAGTGTGTTAGGGAAGAGATAGGCCTAACAGAAAACTAGTGTTAAGCAGTTTTTCCGTTGCTTTTCAATGAGTGAGTGAGGTTGCCGAAGGGCACGATACTCTGCACTTTATTTTCAAAATATTATTTTTATTATTATAGGGATCGAATCATTTACACATTAAAATAATAAAAGATTTTACTTAAATGAACATTGCTTAACCAACCGATTTATGATGTATTTATGCTCGCGTTTAAGAAAATAATCTTATACACAATAGACGAAGATTACGAGTAAGTGTACTACGAGTATAAGTAATAAGTGTAATTACGTCAATTATCGTGCATTTTATTGCAATATCAGTGGAGATAAGATAGTGTTTATACAAACATAAATCTACCATTGTCCGCTGCTTTTCTTACAATTAGGTATTTTTAGATTCCGCAAGATCAATCAATTATATCACGAACAGAACTTGTTTCTTCTTACAACTTGTATGTAAATATATAATTATATGCTGTGTAGTTAAGGCGTGAAAACGTAACAGACAAACTTACATTCGTATTAAATATTAGTTACGATTACCTGAATCCATTCAAGAACCATCTTCGCATATGAAGGCGTGAACTGCATTATATGTTTGAAGGAAAGACCCTTCATGTCAAAGATGCTTATGATACCGCAGATCTGTGTTTGAGGTTCCACCATTGCACTTTCCAATCCCATTTGAATACCACGGAACACGTCTGTGAGGGGCACGTCTTGAGGATTCCATCTCTCTGGAAATCAATCCATATGAATTATTTAATAAAAATACTAATAACCTTACCCATCTTACACACGGCCGTCTGATTCAAAACTTGGCAGAGCCGTGCTATGATAACCAGACATCTGTATGGAAGGCGTAGTTGTTTAATGGTTTAGTGATATATTTGACGTCAACAATTTGCTTTGAAATGAACAAAAAACTAAGTGTATACATTTCACTACGCCAAACGTCAAGCCAGTGAAAAACTACTGTGATGATTAAGGATGTTGAGTTAGACCTTGTGGATACTACGACATTTTTGGGTAGGTATAACACTAGATTCGAAGCTGCAGTGGGGCCCACATATTGATAAACTATCGAGTAGACTCAGCTCAAGCTATTTTTTAAGTGGAAATGTAGTGTAGGTTATTGTGATTTTTATTTATTTTTTGTTTTATTTCACTTTCATTTCTATTGCATCTTTATCTTTATCTTGTATTCTCTTCGTTGCATTTTTACCTTTTAGTCCTTAGTAATGGACATACTGGTATAGAACTTAACAAAGTTGTGGTATATTTAATGATGCCATTGTATTAATCCGTAAATTAAAAAAGTGTAGCCGTGAGTTTTTTGGCCCTCTCTTTTCAGAAGGCTCAACCCCTTGGAAATAGCACAGGTACATAATAGATTTTTGATAGGAATAATTTTACTTTTTTATTTTGCTAAATATTTGACAAAACAGAGATTGTTGCTATTGTGTGTGTTAATCTATGACTTTAGAGTCTACATAAAAGAGAATATTTTAATTTCAAATAAATATATTTATATTCAGTTTGAGTTTAAGCGGTCACCGAGCGCGAGTGGCTTCTTCCTCCTGCGAGTGTAGTGGGTTCAATTCCCTCATGGAAAAACACTTTGTGTGATCCACAAATTGTTGTTCTAAGTTTGGGTATTCTTTGTGACCGTCATGTATATTTGTGAAGTCCCTTCGGACCCAAAATATATTTTTAGTACGGGAATTGTCAATAAAACAAAACCATGCCTACCTATATATTTCTAAATTCATGTAAATTATAGCTAAATTACACTCAGACACAGAACAAATGATATTTAAAGATACAGATATTTTACTCATTATATTAATTATTCCTAAGTATACGAAGGCAATTACATAAATAAATAGTTAAAATAATTATTATGCTAAAAATATTTTTACATCTAAGCAATGCAATTAACATAGTAATAAGCTCACGTTGACGTAACCAAACATCATATCGCGCTATAGTTTTGTCCGTGTTCAGTATAAACCGAAATAAATCATTGTCGGTTTATCAAAGTATTCTTGAATACTTTAAATATACGATCTCTATAGAAACAGCCTTGCGCACAGCATCAGCCACAACGTCGAACTTCAAACTAAGTTCCTTTGAAATTCTACGCTACAGCACTGTTTGCAAGTCACTTGCCTTAAAGAATAGCACTGCAGGTCAAAAACATATAACGAATTAAGAATTTTAAAACAAATTAAGTTTCACAAGGTGAGTTGAAACTAGATTTTCAATATTTATCTCAAGATGCAAACTTCATTGTAATCTGACAAATCTGACAGCTTTATATTGGCAAACTGCTTCAAGCGTAGTGGTAGCAAGTATGTATGAATTCGAAACCCTACCTTATAATACATTTTGGCGTAAGGGCCTATTCTAGTATAATTACAAAAGGCGTTTAGGATTTATATTTAATAAATCCTCTGTGACAAGTTACTCGGTTCATCATCATCATCATCAACACCCTTTAATAGGGTTTCAGGTTACTAAATTCATACTAAATAGTCTCGCCGCTGACGCAAAAACTGGACGTGACTTGACTTTGACGTGATTGAGGAAGAGCTGGACCGACTCGCCGCCCGCAACACCACCCCAGGCCTATGATGGAATGTCGGGCCGAGCATGGGTGCGCGCTTTGGCGGTCCTAGGTAATAGACTAAGGCGTCTGTTTCACTACGTTGACTGCTAATAATTACTTTACGAAACGTCTAAAGGAAGCGAAGGCTAATAGTCTATCATAAAGTAATATAAGTAAACCTATAGTTAGTCAACTAACTTATTGAAAAAAACTGCGATTACATTAAAAAATACTAGTCAGCATGTTACACTACTGAATAAGCATGACTCGGTGGCCCTCATGAAAATCGGTGACCAAGTACTTACAGATAGGTATGTACGTAACTAATCGCGTCATGAAACGGAAAACCTACTTTTATCAGTCTATTTAAACATACTTATATTTGGAAATTTAAAAAAAAATCGTGGGAAATCTTTGCTGCGTTATGAATGAGCCGGCTCGACCGGAGTGATACGACGGCCTTACAACAAACCGGTTTTAGCAGTTCTTTTCGTTTTTCACTGAGTGACTGAAGTTACCGGAGCCAAAACCTTCCCTCCCCCTGCTTCTGGGGGGAAAGTGGACTCAAAAGACGGTAACTCACTTGGGACTCTTGAGTTCCGGCGGTAGTCACTTACGATCAGAGCCTCTGGTACGATGAAATAAACTCGCACTAAGGCCTTAGTGTGACTATGTATGAATGACAGTCGCACTAAGGCCTCTGATTCAAAGGCCTTAGTGCGAGTTTATTTCACATCAACTCGATGTGGGCGAACACTAGGCCCTCAGGTGACTCGTCTGCTCGTTTGCCCTATGTCAAAAATATTATATCCACGAGTTTAACCTTGAAAATTTTTTATTACTATTTCTTTACCAGCTTGAATCGTTTAATAAGAGTATACCATGACATATATGACAGATTATGTTCTTCAACAATGTATTTATTTTTTTACCTATTTATCATTCTTAATTATTCTCATTTGCTACTATTGCCGTAATTAAATACTAATTGTAAACAATGTGTAGGTAAGTAAGGATGCTTTACGCTTTGACATTTTACGAATCAATATTTCGAAACAAGTTCATAGAAATAATGTAACACTTATCTATTATTATTATATCTAATGTATTATTTGTTGGGGAGAAAGTAGAAATCGCAATCTACAAACATTTCTTGCAAATGTACCGTACCGCAAGTACCGTCTCTTGTTTACTTTTACTTCTAAACAAGTGCTGGGAATACCACAAACGATCACGACGTTATATAAAACGTTAAGGAGAGGACACAGCCCAAACACAAAGAAATTACCTTATAGGTCTAATAATACTAGTTCTTTTTTATTTTACGGAAGTGAAAGACGATTACGCAGTACTTCATTTTGGCATTAAACACACAAAGCAACAAAAAATAAATATAAACAAAATATTATTACAACACATTATTACACAACTGCTTATTACCGAACGTTTAATCACGTAACTTATACTGAGCTGTATTTTTATTCTGTTCATCTCGTAGAAAGAATACTTTAATTTTTAAATATTATTTACATCGCAATATAAAAAGTACTTTATAGCTCTGGATTCTGGATCCTTTTTATCAAATGATTTATGCGACTTAATTGCAAGGAAAACAAGAAAAACGAGCGATACGAAAAAAGGTCAAGTGTGCTATAAAATGTTGTACAGTAAAACATTTGTTAAACCATAATTTTTTTATCATAAAATTCGTATGCAGCGTATCCAGTTCGTAATAGTTTACAAAAAGTTTGAAATCATGATTCTAAATCGGAACAATGACAAATTTCATGTCAAATAAATTTCACGCTCTATAAAATATGTAACTTTCTCCCAATTTGCCGTTAGTTCTTTAATCAGTTTGTAAAATGCTTTTACCTGACACTGTTGGTAAATAAATGAAATCACTACATATTCTCTTTTGCCTTTAGACTCGTACCTGTATATTTTATTTACTATTATAATTTTGAATTTAGTTTTATTTTATTTTTTTAACTCGACACATAGGTATTATGAACCTCTTTAATAACCGATTCACCGATATTCACATTCCACATTACATATTTATTATACCTATCCTCTATAAAACTCAGCATTATTTAAAATATATATTCATTAGCTTAGCATTTAGAGCAGAAAATTATATATTTGTATTATGTATTTGAGCACTGTCTGGAAGCAATGGTTTTGACATTCAAAGTCACTTCTTGAAAGAACACAAAGTAGTTTATTTTCACTAGCGTTAGCTCGCGGCTTCTCTCGTTTTTTATATTATGTTTTGTAAATCTTTCCTGTAGCCCTTTTAAGGTATATGTAAAATTTTATATTTGTTGTGTAGGAAATATGTAAAATCATTACAAACAAACAAAAAGTAAATATATAAAAAGTGTTAGGGTGTATGTACATTGTAGACAGTAAGAGCTTCAATTTAGAAATTTGAAACCCTTACGTATATGTCTCCTCAAGGAGTAGATATAAATCCGTTCCTTTTTGAGCTACCATACGGTATTTAATAATAAAAAAATAGGAAATCCAACCAAAAAGAAAGCCACAACGTAGTTACTGTCCCCGAAGGTTTTAAACATTGACAGTGGACCAGTTCCAGTATGGCGATTTTGTTACTAGAAGTTTTGACAATATTTGAAACACCTAATTCTGCAAATATGCCATTGTATGCCAATAAGATGTGTAGAAATCGTAAACGCGTATATGAAATATTGTAGAATACCTTTGAAGTGGTTGAATATGCATCAGTGACACACAGGAATGTCTTACATAACAGAGCGTCTGTTGAAGCAAGTAAGAGCGCAGCGTTGCAATCTAAACCTAGATATGGTCAATAATATAGGACCACACTACATTAATGTGATCAATGTTGAAAGAGGATGAATGTTTCATTGTTTTGCCATTTGCAAGTTTACGTTATGAAACAAACATACAAGCTCTCATTGTATGAGCCATGCATCTTTGTGGGTCACTAGCCTAGGAAGAATCTAGTTATCATTAGAAATATCATAAAATATGTCCTTAATATTTGCTTACTCACCTCCAGATTCGACTAATACAATACGACGGCCGTGTTGATCCCTTGGTGCCAGAATAGATACGATTGAATGTTGGTAAGGTGAGCGAATGACTGACGGGAGAAGATCATGGCAATAGTCAGGGTTTGCTTGTTTGAACTCATAATATGCTTCTATCTGCAATGAAAATGCGTAAAAGATTTAGTAATTACGTTTGATTACCCTGAAAAATATATTATTTTTATTTGACAAAGGCAATTTTCTTTTCTAAGGTACCCAACCTTTCCTATATGTACATAATCTGTGTTAAAGCATTTATGTTTGAAGTAATAGATGCTTGATATTCAAAGAACAATTCCTTAGCTATTTTTTTTTAAACCAGAATTAAAACCACAATTTTTTTAACATAATTATATTATTAATATTCAACCGCGTTACGTCAAATTCAAAATCAAAACAAATCTATAAAGATTATAAAAAAGAACATTTTGGTTATTTTTTTATTTTAGCTAGTCTAAGTACTGGCCCAATTTATCTACACAATTTTGGCATTTTGCAGTCTGCTGGACAATAAAGCGTTTTGTACTGCCTCTCGAGTTATGAATTATTTATCACTTAAAATATTATCTAAATTTTGAAAAAAGTAGAAATCATTGGGGCACGCTCCGGTGAGTACGGTGGGTGACGAAGAGCTTCCAGCTATAACTCTTGTAGCTTGGTGATGGTCTGTTGTGAAGTGTAAGCTCACGCGTTGTCGTGGAGAAACAGAAGCAATGCAATCAAACAGTCATCCTATGGTTAATCTTATTTTTAGCGCACTGATTAGATGCTGTACCCCATAGGATTCTGTCGTATAGGATTCACTTTTCATCGCAAGTAACAATTCGATTTAGGATTCCTTCGTTTCTATGCCGATTCAGTAGTTCTGTTCTTGTTTCAACGCGCGTTTGATGATAGTCGCTTAGTTCGTCTGGCACCCACTTATCCAGCTTTTTTATCTTTCCGATTTGACGGAAGTACTTCAATGTTTTTTGACACTAACTTCAAAGTCTGCAGCAAGCTCAGTCGTAGATTGAGTTGAATCCGCTTCCACTATCGCTTTCAATTTGTCGTTGTCGACTATAAGATACGATTAGTTACCGGCCGACCGCGAGCCTCGTTCTTCGACTCAAAATTTCCAGATCTAAAGCGATTGAAACAATAATGGACGGTATTTATGCAAGCAGTGTTAGGCCCGTACACGTCGTTAATGTTTTGTGTTGTTAAAAATCATTTAAAAAGAAAAAAAACTCAAACAATGAATAGGTACCTATAAAGTAGGAACTCTATAGGTACCTATTCATTGTTTGAGTTTTTTTTTTCTTGGTGTAATTTTAATGTCAGAAAACCCGTGTTTATCAATCGTAATAAGTGCTTTTTATTCACGTCAATCCTCATGAGAATAATCTATGATCGATGATTATGTGCAATTAAGTTACCTTCTTTTCTAGTTATAATGTAATCTATTATCATAATACCTACATCTAGCATTTATAACATAACGTCCTTTATCAATTTAATGTTTTATATTTTGAGTATCTTCAAGTCAACATTATTACCTATAATTTTGGCGTGTAATGAAAAGATACTGATTTGAAGGAAAAGATATCCGTGTGGTGGCGGATTAAGAATACGGAGTGTCACCATCACCCATGTCACAATGGGGGTCCATTCATCCCGTGGGTATCGTAAGAGCCGACTAAGGAAGCAAACTACTCATGACAATATCACTGCACAGAGTAGGAAAACTTGAAACAAAACCTACACAACCCGTCTGGCCAGCCTAAGGACAGGTCTAAGTCCAGCTGTGGACTACTAAAGACTATTGGCGATGATGACTAATTTGACTTGATAGTCACCTACCCAAATGTCTTAGATATCTAAATGTTTTTTTGTTTGAACCTAAGTTACTTAAAAAGTGACTTAAAAACTTACCTACGCGATTCAGGTGACAATAAAAATAACCTTGTGAAAAGCTTGTTCAGATGTAAATTATCATCATAGTTATCATCATTAGATGAGACTTCTACAATAAACGTTAATAATACGTAATTTTATCTTATTTCTTTGTTTTTGTAAAGTCCACCAAGTAAGTTTGATTAATAAAAAAATACACTGTCTTCTAAAATGATAAAGCCGTGTACCTAAATGTTTCAATAGTTTCACAATACAATGAATCTAGCTTTGACAGTTAGTTATTAAATATCTTTGAACTTAACTGACATGGCAATGTCAGACTTCTTGTCAAAATAGAAAAGTCATTTACCTTTTTGAGAGCACTTTCAGGATAAAATTTACAAGGTCGCAGGAACTTCATCAGGAACTCATCTTTTTCTATTGGAACATAAAGGGACGTATTGTCTGCAAAAAAAAAACTGATGAGCTGATTTTTAAGCAGAACAACCTAATACATAATATATAAATAATATAATACATAAATAAAGAACATAATTAATATAATCCGTGTTTTTAGAAATGTTTATATCGAATTTGGTATACCTATATTACATATAACGTGAATTACAAATGCCAATGAATAAATAAATAATGCGAAATGTGTGAGTCCAAACACATACATATTGTGTGGGTTACAAAATTGAATCGAATCTAGAGCTAATAAACAGTGTTATTAACCAAATATAATATTCCAACAATTGAAACTAAATTATAACAATAAACTTAGCTAATACAAAAACTACAAAAACACTTTCGGAACAAGTACTACAAGAACTATAATCATAGTAAGATTAGAGTTATGTTACGTGTACCAGGGCTCTCTCCCAAGGTTACAACATTGTCCACGTAATTATAATTGATTGGGGTTCAGAAAACTACTGATACTAAGCTTAATGTCATGGGACGTAAATTCCAATCTTACAACTTATAACGTAAGTATATTGTTTGATTTCTTTCTTATTGTTTTTTTCTAAACAGTACGTATATATGTTAACCACATCACTATTATAAATGGTATCATCTGAATAGATGTTTGTTACTCAATCACTCCGGAACGGCTGAAAAGATCTGGTTGAAATTTAGGCTTTTAAAAACAGAGTAGTCTGAAATATATTTCTTTTTATTTCGAAAATTGACTGACAATTTCATTATCAGTTTGACTTTATGCTGTCAAAGTTACAATACTTAATTTTCCTCGTGCTATCCCATTTTCCGGATACAATTCGTATTTTAAAAAAAAATGTACAAAACAAAAAAGATCTGGTCTGATATCCATACCTACACACCACTCAACATCTGCCATCTAGTTAGCAGATAACTTACTTATACATATTAATTTATTACGTAGACAAAAATATATTGCATATATATATATATATATTCTACCTACATACACACAACGCCATCTAGTCCCAAACTAAGCAGAGCTTGTACTATGGGTACTAGACAACTGATATGAATACATATATACTTTTTTTTTTGTAAATACATACATATTATACATAGAAACACCCAGATCAAATCAAACATCAAATGTTCATGCACACAAATGTTTGACTTGAGCGGGAATCGAACCCATATATGATTATCATATGTGCAATACATTGTATAAGGAAGTTCCTTCAAAAAGTCTTTACGATATGAATAAACAACAGGGGTTATACCTAAAATTCAAAGCAAACTATTTAAATTGTCTGAGATAATCGTACAAGTTTGACAATAAATTGACCTCTTGTCTAATTTACTAAGTAAATAACATCTGACAGACCTGTTTTCCTGGTGGTTAGTGACCCTGACTGCCAACACAGAGGCCGTGGGTTCGATTCCTACCCAGGACAAATAATTGTGTGATGAGTACAATCATTTGTTCTGTGTCTGGGTGTAATTTATCTAAAATATATGTATTTAAAAATATATAAGTATTTTTATCGACAGATGAGTTTATTATTATCTATTGTAAAACGCCACTTCAAACATTGTAATTGGAAACTACTGCTGCATATACGCTGGAGACATCAACGCGTCATAGACTCAATTGAATAGTTGATAGACGTCACTTATCTAAATTAACGAGTGAGAATTGTCTCAACACATTCGAATACACCGAGCACTAGGGATTCAAATATGCCAACAAAACAAATAGGCTGAATTCAAAATACTGAAATTTAAAAAATAGTTATAAAAGTGTCTTCTAAAACAAATAACCTAATTTAACCAAAACGTAACTTAAACCCCCCTCCTATATTCATTTGTTAGTTTCAAAATATCTTTCTGAGGCCGCTGACCCTACCTTATCCTGCTAGACCCTTTATTTCGCAAAACACACTTGGCAGAATCTTCTTTAAACGAATATTTTTACGGCATAAAAATTATTTAGTATAATTATTGTTTGGCCAAATGTTAATATGTCCGAATTTACAATGGCATACTTTTAAGATCGCGTAATTTTATTTAGCATAACTACCTTTGGCGTAAATAATTTTATTAGGGATATTGCTGTAAAGTAGCATTTTTAACCTTAAATTAAATTATTATCTTAAAAAGTCATAATGTCTTGCTACAAAAGTTTGTGACAGAAACGAATCGCTGCAAAACCGACTCCACGTGGTCTTGTCTGCCCTACCCCAAGAGTGTAATTGAAGCCCGCGTAGGCGCGGAGGGGTTAAGCGGGCTTTAGCATCAGCTCCAACAAACCATGTCCTACGATAAGCTCGCGTGGGACCGCCGGAGCCGTGACAGATGTGCTGCATGCTGCATTCTTGCTGGCTTTATTATTATGGTAAGAAATACAAAATGATCTATTGATAGTCTTTCTATTATTATAGATATAAAACGTATGCTAAAAGATGATTCACACTGTAATCTTCTTGAGATATGATAGTTCCTTTTAATGACTAATTTATGCTAAAAGACGATGAAATTTCAGCGATATGATGGTTCTATTTTTTAATTACTATAAATATAAAGTTTATACCCAAAGATGATTCAGACTCACAAAATTATGAGTTTTGAATGTATGATAAACAATAATAATAAATGAGTGTCTGCCAAACGATTTCCTGCGAAATGAAGTTTATGCTATCCGTTGTTATGCAAAATAATATTATGACATAAAAAGTTCTGTTACAAAAGGTAGACACATGAAATTGTAAATTGTGCAATAAACTCTAATTTTACTATTAGTGACCCCTTCCAAAATTGCGAACGCGCCTGGGTTAATGACCACGACTCCTAAACCCAAGAGTGTAAATTCCAGTCCCACCAACGACAAATACTATATAAACATTAAAAATATATTAATAATATGTACGAGTATACATTTAAAAAAAGTATCAGCTGCCTCCTTCCCAAAGTACAGGCTCAGTCTAGTAGAGCAGATGGCTGGCCGTGAGGTTTCTCAGGTCATTATTATTATTATAACCTTGCATGATTATATTTTTTAAATATTATGTCAGTCAACAACATAAAATTAATGTTTGAATAATTCTATGTGTACAGATACTTAAAACTCGTACAATGTTAATGGATTTTGAAGAAATACAAATAAGAATTAATTGTGTAGTATTAAGTATGATCGAAGCTGGCAAATAAATTTCCAAGGTAAGCTTATCCCGAAGAGTAGTCGGAAGCACACCACATGCTGTGCAAATTATCAGAACAAGCCTAATGACATTTTTGGGTCCCTGTACTTACTTGGGTGACGTTCGTATTAACAAATCAAACCGCACACACAAGACAGGTAGTCTCATACTTAAGCGCATGTTTACTGAGCGCAGTCAGACCGTGACATAAGAAGAGCGACTTGTGAACACATAGTAGGTACCCACTAAGTATTCCAAAAACTTCTGCTTTAAACATGCATTTCGAAAATATTCAAAGAAATTGTGCATTGTGATCATTGTGATAATGACGATAAAAATCTTATAATTGGTAAGGCAAATTGGTTACTTTTCATCATCAGTTAAATATATATCTGTCCTAACTGTCCTATCTTTCTATATGGGAACGCTATTGACAAACAATGACGACTTTCTATGTACAGTCAAAACAAGGCGCATACGGAATTGTTTAATTTAAGCTTTACCTAACTTTTTAATCAATTATATTTTTAATTTATTAATATTTATAAAGTAGTGTAAGTGTATTTCGTCGTTATATGTATAGGTAATAATTTGCAATCGTTGTCGCTAGAGATGTTAAAAAGCGCGTGATACACTATGGTTACCGCACTTTCCGCGCACCTCAAGCTATACGAGAAAGGACTCATTATATAATACGAGTATTTCATATCTTTTAATCTAAAAAAAAGTCGTGTTCTGAACTGCAATTCATAGTTTAAAAGCGTATCACCTAAGATTGCCCTTGAGGAAGTTTCTGAGTGTGGTACTGGTAGTATGGTACTGGATTAATGAGGGACAAGGACAATTAATAATTAAAAACTTTTTCCCTTTGTATTCGTATCAAAACAAATATCAGCTAAATGACCTATCGTCATTTATTTACATGATGCCAGTTTTTTTGCGACATCGCTTTTTATAAACATAAATGGTACAAGTATAGAAATATGGCTACTTTGTACAAACACGAAGCGAACTTTAATTTGAAAGCAAATTTATCTCGTTTCGTGCATTGAGCTAGGATTACTCAAAATTCAGTAACAAGTATGAATTAAAAAAAGTGGCGTTTAAATTAGATACTTACACCCTTGCAAACATTAGGTATTTACCTATGAAGTTGGAGATTTTTATGAAAATTTGAAAGTATAAAATGTTTTATTTTATTTTGACTAATTAAAGTACTGGCCCAAATTATTTATACAACTTTGCCATTTTGATGGCTGTTTATTTATCCCTTTACTGTAGAAGTCTACTGTAGAAGAAGAAGAAAAATTGACCGGCAAGATCCACATTATTAATGTTTGACCTTTTCTTGAATCCATTGGTGGAATTCGGTTCTCACATTTTGCATGCTCTCTTACCTGCACTAATATTGAGTTGGATCCGTTTCCATTATCGCCTTTAATTCGTCGTAGTCGACTATATTTACCGGTCGTTCTTTAACTTCCAGATCAGAAAATTTCCAGATCTAAAACGATTCCACCAATAATGGGCCGTGTTTATGTTAACAGTATTAGGCCTGTACCTGTGTTTCGTATTGTTTGCGGAGCGGTATTTCCACGTAGGAACTCATATTTGAGAATTGTACGAATTTTCAGTTGATCCCTGGCGCCATAACTACAACAATATCACAAAAACAAACACTATCTACAGATAATTAAATCTAAAAATGCAGGTTTTAGAAATCTCTAACTTCATAGGTTACCAACCTAAATACCTATTATTTTTGTTATCAACTTTTAAAATCCATATATTTGAAACCTTACTCGATAATTTTAAGAAAACATATATTTAAAAATATGTAGTATAGAGCCAAAATGTGACATCACCAACATCTCCTAGAGTACAAATGTTGGTTTTGTAAAATGGGTATAAAAATTTGGACGATTAAATGCTTCTACGAATTTTCAAATCCTTAGATGACAAAGATTAGCATCAGCAACAATTTAATAAATTATCTATGTTTTTATAATGTTTAGATTGCAGAATGACTGTGTGAAAATTGAGGTGTTTTCGCACAGTCATCCATTAACATCAGTAGTACATACCTACCCGATCTGTATGAAGTTTGGCATATTTAAAAAAACGACACTATCTATCATTTGATATTATGGAAGTTTTATGAGTAACCTGAGTAATGTTTAAACTACTTCTAATGGTGGAGATTTTCTTCGATTGTCATTACTGCTGTTTTGCAATGCAATTGATCGTACGTTAATAAGGCTCCTTCTTTATTCTGGTAAACATTTCTTGACAATCGATACATGAGATGTGAAAAAAATAGGACGATATCCAAGGTTATTCCTCCAAAACTTAACCGAAATTCTTTACTACTTGTTCAATTTAAAATATTTTTTTTTTTTTAAAGACAACTCCTGCATTAGGAATATATCCTGTGTCGCGGGGGACTTTAGAAACATACATGAAACGGACACAAAGAACACCCAGACTCAGAACAACAATTTGTGGATCACACAAAGTGTCGTCCCATGTGGGGTTTGAACCCACAACACTCGGCGCAGTAGGAAGCGGCGTGGCGACCGCTTAAACCACTACGCCATCTGTGCAGTCAGCCGTAATCATTGGCCCATTTGTGCAAGCGAGTACATAGTTAAATTCTAATTTCTTAATGTTATTTATTCTTACGTACACAATATAAACATTTATAAAAAAAATACATTAAGAAATTGTGGGCACAGAGGCGAGCTTAACTCATAATTGAGTTCTCTTCCAGCAAATCTCAAAGAGTGAAGAGAGGATAGCACAAACGGGGGAGTGTGTACAGGGTGTACAAATAAAAATAAAATATTATATTCAGTCATATGACATAATATGTGTCAATGATAAGGAAAAAGAAAAGGTTTAAGAGACTAATTTGTGGTCTGCGATTGTAACACGTGATAATGTTTCCTCGTGGTTGGTATCACATCCTGCTTTACGGAAATAAAAAACCTAGATGTAAATTGTGACATATTAAGAAAAAATCCAGACAAGTGCGAGTCGGATTCGCCCGTACAAATTTGTAGGTATTCAAGTTCCCAAAAACCCATAATTACTTATACTATTGTGTTGTATAAATGGAATTGTACTTCCATGATTGATTACGTACTTTAAATAAAGAAAGTACCTGGCCCGTTCCCCAGCCTGGCGGGCCGCAAGAGTTCTAAACCTGGTCCCGCTCCGCCATCTCCTTCGCAAACATAACTTGCTCGCAGAAGGAGACGGCGGAGTTCCACACACTCTCGCATCGCACCCTGGCCGCAATCATGTTACCGAGAGAGAGAACTCCCACCCCGATGGCCGCCACGAGATCACGCCTCTGCTCCACCCACGTCGGGCAATAATAATATATTTTCAAATATTTATACATTCGTATTATATATATATATATATATTCGTATACGTATTCTAGTACGCGAGACCTTTGTGGCCTCATCCCCCCAGATGAGGCCACAAAGGTCTCGCGTACTGGAATACGCAGCTTGGGTAGGCCCCCACAAAGTGATCCGAAGACCTGTTAAAGGCCGCGGGAAGCTGTTGGATGCAGGCAGCACTAGACCGCTTGTTGTGGCGAACCTGGAGGGAGGTCTATGTCCAGCAGTGGATGTATTTCGGCTGATATGATGGTGATGACAAAAAGTCTTATTGATCATTTAGTTTTTTTATTTGTACGCCCATTGTTTTAAAACATGCTTGTTTATTGCAGATTCCGAAATGGTAAAATATTTTGACATAATAATCAAATAAAATTGACATAAGTTCTTGATGACCATATTTTTGTAAATAATTAAATAACCAAAATAAAAATAAAACACTCGAATAGCCCACCAGTAAGTTCATCGGCAGGTATAATGTATGAGGTTATCCATTATTTACGCCACACAAGTATATAGTGTAGGTCGAGATAATGCCAAAACTATCTCACCAAATATTATGTTACATGCATTATGTTCACAGAATAAAATACCCCATTAATTGTATGTACCTACTAATTAAGTCAAAAAGAACGTAATAAAAAGTTCACAATTGTTAGTATTACATTGTGGAAAATTTGTTTTTACGAAAAACTATTAACAGCGAATTGAAATAATACTAACAACTTGAATACAGATTATATTCCGTTATCCATCCATCTATAGATATTACAATAAAAAACTACCAAGTAAAAGAAAGTCGTCCATTTTAAAACCAACGTAGAACTTTAATAAACTTACGTTTTATGGTGCATGAACATGTTCCGACGCTGTAGATAATGACAGTGAAAGGGAAAGCATCAGACTCAATAGCTTAGTAACTTTCATTTTATACATGTATCAGAATAGAAAAGACATAACTACTACTTTTTCGAAGCTTCTGTTATGACTCGTATTGATTCTTAGATAAAGAATTATTCCGTTCCTTGAAACTCGAAGCCGAAATTGATGGGAACACAAAATGTTTTGAAATCATAAAAGACTAAAATAAATAAGAATGCAAAATTAGTAAGGGTTAAAAATATTCTGATCTTTTTGTTATGAGATTTAATAAACGCATCATAAGAATAACTAGGCACATACCACTTTTTTTTTAAATGGAGTATTGAATAGGATTGGGTATACAAACCTATTTTTTTTTAATTTATCTAAAATATGTATGTATTTAGAAATATATAAGTATGTTTATCAGCAGTCTGGTTACCATAGTAGGTACAGGCTCTGCCTAGTGTGGTATCAGAAGGCCGTGTGTGAGATTTGTGCAGATATTAATATTAAATAATACAATTTTCTATTAAGATGTTTAGCTATGACAAAGTAATAAAAATAAAGTATTACTTACTTTTTATTGATTTTATGAAATGTCAGTCATAATCGTACATATTACAAAATTCATTTATATTGGTGCGCGCAAAATGCGCATATTTTAGTTATTATATTTTAAAGACAAATCTTGATTATATTTCAAACTGTATTTGAAGTAGTCATCACCAAAGTACGAGTAATGTAAGGTTAGGTATCTTTTTTTTTAAGTTCAACATATGTAATGCACCTAAATCATGACTAGTTCTTTTTTAATTTGAGGCTTATCAATTATAATCACCCAGCAATAACACTTAGGTATTTATTACACATCAGATAGGTGTGTACGTGAGTGTGTATGTATAAGATGGTTTAGAAATATTTATACATGAAATTCAAAAATAACTGTCACTTACTTTTTAAAAGTTTTCGAAACTCCCGAAGAGCCTGTTCGACTATCTCGGGCGTTTCCCTCAATTCCTTTTTGGCTTTTTCTCTCAAAACTACCTCCTCACAGTTTAGTTTTACTTCCAATTGTATTCTATTCTCCCCCCACATCACAAATGGGGTTCCATCGGCACCGTACTGTAGTTCCATCTTCTCCTTTTGTTTACTTCAAATGCGTTTCAACTATCAATGCTTTATTATTATTTCAATGTGCATTGATCTCAATTTACTGTCAGCAAATATCCACCGGGTACACAAGTTTTATTGAGTGTCAGCAAAATGTCGTCAGTCGGTCACCATTCACTTGCAATTTCACTCGACACAGTTTTTGCAAGTTACTTAATTCACGTGATTTTATTTGATTATGATAATTTATTTATTATCTGCAAAAACACACTACGATTCAAGTGGCCTCGTCTAAATTTGCGGAGCGTATGAAATGATATATAACATTTTAATTTGAGCTAAACCGATTCCGCGCGCCGACAGTGATATCGTACTTAATAGACTGAAGTTGAACATCGCAAGCACATCTTAACTGTATCCCACTACCGCCGCGATATCTTCTCTGTCAGACACATTCACTTTGCTTTTAAGACTGAGCCTCTAAAATCAATTACGAGCTATTATGGCCTGTAAACAAACTGTTTACAAATATACATTTAATGGTTAATTAATGTTTGGAGAATTTGATAACGAATATTCTTATTTCTAAAATACCTATGTTCAAATATATATGTATATATACACACATGTACACACATATGTACACATACAAGATGTGCATTAAGTTTATTTATTTATTTATTTATTTAAACTTAATGCACATGTTGTACAAAGGTGGACCCTTACATACCGGTGCTGTACATAGATGGTAGTAATATGATGCAGTAGGCAAATATAAAATATGTCAAACTTCATAGTTTGGTACATAAGAGATAAACCTACATTACATATAACTAAAATACATAAATTCATTACTACATTATATTATTTTAAACATATAAAGGTTAGGTTGGTTTGTGTACGCAGGTACGCTTCAAAAACTCGAAATGTCCTGCACCGATGGAGCTCAAATTTTGACACGATATACAACAAGCTTCAGACATGGTTTTTATTTACTTTTTGCAACCACAATATACCACAGCGAACCGTGGCAGGGTTTAGCTAGTGCATAAGTAACGTAAATAGAATTCACGTATTTAATACATAGAACGATGGAACATAAAAGTTAAAATTTTGAAGTTTAAGTACCTCTTAGAAGGCTAAAATTGTTAATCAATATGTGTTACCAAATTACATGCTCTATGAACAAAGAAATGAGGCCAATTAAAACTATACCTTGGCGTGTTCATACACAATTACACGCACACACGTACAGCGAAATTACATTATTAAAATACGTCAGTCAAAAAGTTATCAATATTTACAAGTAAAAATGCCGAATTATATTGTGAAAGGATGTAAAACTCAAACTACAAAAATGGATACTAGGATGGAATAGCATTTCACACATTAGTAAGCATAGAAACCAATCTTTTCAATAAAATGAAATTATGATGGCAGCACCGCACACATGTTTATAAAAGCGGCGTCACTATGTTCTTCGCAAAGTTCCATCTTAACTATTTTATTTTTGATCTGAGGGCTACACGCGTCCAGTATTCAAATATCTCTATATCATGAGTATATAAAAATGATAGTTCAAGTAATAGTGACCGATACAATTAAATATTAATGTATTTATATTATACCTAACGTGAAGAAAGTTGTGTGTTTCTTTATAACATCTTGTTCAATCCTAGAGCCCCCTTTTACCTCAAAGAACGGTCAAGTTCCTTAATGACACACATGATAAATGTCTGAGGTCATCCGAGGATTTGTGGCTGGAGATGCCTCTGCATTCCACAAAATTCTATGACCATTCTTTTACTGTTGAAGCTGCACGTTTGTGGAATTCATTGCCGATAAACATCAGGCGAGCGCAAAAGATAAAGAGCTTTAAGAGAATGGTTCAGGAATTTAATGAATCTTGATTAAGTCAATTACGCGTCAAGGCATTATAACAATGTTCCTTTTTTTCGTCCTTTTTAAGTGATATACTTAACTAGCTATGTATAAATAAGTATTTGTATATCGTATGTATATGTGTATATGTATGTATATTGTATATGTGTTTTATGTGTAAATGCTGTGGACACATGCTGTGTATTATTTTTGTATGTACTAGATTAAGACATTATGCATATTAGTTCTTAAGACGCTATTGTACAATACATTGTCTGTGTTCCTTAAAATAAATAAATAAATGTTTATTTAATTTAACCGTTGCACCTGCAACTACTACTGTCTCTCCAAAACATTTTAATCCATCCTAAGGTGGCCTGGAAGAGAGTGCTCTTAGCAATAAGGCCGCCCTCTGTACATTACATGTCTGATATTTTTATGTACTATAATACTTGTAAAATGTGTGCAAATAAAGATTTATCTATTTATCTATATAAATGATATATAAACATATAATATAGATATATAGAAGTCAAAAGAGTCAAAAGTTATACTACATTATATGCCTACAATTTTTTTATTAGCAATCATTCAAACTACAGCAGAATATCTATGATGCACAATTTGAACAGTAAATAGGTCTGAGCTGTCTTACGCTGAATAAATATTATAGTCATTATTGAGTGTCCTTCCAAGCACAATATGGCTATGGCTATGACATACGACACTAGCATGAATTCGACACAATGGGTCAACCATTGAAAAGCCTGGTTGCGGTGACTGCCTGTACCGTAGCAGTGTTCACAAGTAAATCAAATCTTGAATCACCTATGAAGAACACTTAACGATACTCAGTTCGACATCTTACTTGGTGTGATAATTTCTACACATATCTCCAACTTCAGTTAGCTAGCCATGATTATTTATTTCTCTCGGCGCTGGCAGTGCATTTGGATTGGAGGAATCGCTTGCTCGCTTACCGTAATGCGGCGTTGTTTATTCTCTTCTTGATGCACTTACTTTTTTAAGGTCTCAGATATTTATTTCCTTATGTTTTTCACATCTTACTAGTAAGTTTACTGTTACTAATATAAGTAGCTATTACAGAACATAACCAGCTGGACCTAAGCATTCCAAGAATCTTGTTATTGTAAGTTGTGAACAAGTGTACCCGTACTACGTATTGCCAAGTGATTGCTATAGGTACATATGTTTCTGTCGACTGTTTTGATAATGTTTATTTTTTATAAGGGGGAATAGAGGGTAAAAACGTGCAGGCGCGTCACCTGATGGTAAGTGACTACCGGCACCCGTGGACACCTGCAACACAAGTCCTCCCCTCAGAACCAGGAGGGGTTTGGCCTCCGGTAGCCTCACTCACTTGATTAAAAGCAACTTATTAATAAAAATAAAAAAATAGCTTAGGTTTACTTAACACCGGTTTTCTGTGATGCCGTGGTATCACTCCGGTCGAGCGTCCCCATTTTGTACCAAAGTATGGTTCTCCCACATAATTAATTACACAGTACATTAACGTACACTAGGCTCTCAGAGCCCCAAGTGTGAGTTTATTTCACATTAACTCGCTCTCGATCGGTGCAGATTTCAGTGCGGGCTGATCATAACGCGCGGTAACCGTGACGATCGAGTAGATGTGAAATAAACTTACACTAGGCCCTCAGATCTTTGGCAATGATTAAAACCTGAACCAGCTAAAAAGCAAAAAAAGCTAATTCAAATTTGAACTATATGAATAACTTTTAGCTAACAGTCAGTGAAAATTCAAATGTGTAATTGACTGCACGGATGGCGCATTGGGTTAAGCGATCGCCACGCCACTACCTACTGCGTGTTGTGGGTTCGATCCCCACATAGGACAAAATACTGTGTGATCAACAAATTGTTTTTCTAAGTTCAGTGGTGTTCTTGATATCCGTTTCGTGAATTTTTGTAAAGTGTCCTGCGACACAGGATATGCTCCTAGTGCGATGGTTGTCTTTAAAGACAAAGTTCTAGAGCTATCGCTCAAAAATGAGACTCCCTAAAACACTATCTATATGTACCTATTCTCTTATAATATAGAGATAAAGAGTAATAGTCAAGTCAAGCTCGTAAACACCTTCCACCTCACATCAAAACGTTCTTCTCATCCTTGATTGTGCAGATAAACTATTCTACAAACACATCACACCTCAAATGATTACCAAATGGTTATATTAAATCTTTTCCAAAAATAGATTTACTTTCTCTTTTATAATGTTACACGCCTAACCTTCCACCTCCTCTCTTAGAACACCTCTCACTCCTTTTTATTAACAGAAAGACGCTCGCTGTCATTAGTTGGGATTTTTTACAAACAACGATTTAGACGGTCAGATGCAATTCAATAGTTAGAAGAACGGTTCTACTGAGACATTCAAGATTATTGATAGCTGAAAATACCATATCCTACAAAAAAAAAAAGTTCTAGTTTGATTTTCAGTTAATTTTTTTTTTACTATTTTATTAAATTTTGCGTATTTTGCGCTAAACCATTTTCCAGGTCCATTATCAACAACCCTAGTTCCTCAGGCTAGTAAAAACATTGCACTTTTTAAAAATCTGACTATTATTTGTTTAACTCTACATTACGTTATTTTATTGGTTTTATTACGACATACATATATTATATAATAATAATATATTCATTGAGGAGTCCGAAATAAATTTAAAAAATTGTTAATTTTTTTTATTTAAATTTATTTATATTAGAATTTAAACGTCATAAGAGCTATATTTGTCACATATTTATACATACATTGAGCAATTCAGGTATTGTCGTCTTTCATTACATAAAAATATCTTATAAATCTATAAAAACAATACACAATTAATTATATTGGAATGCGTCTAATAAAGGCACTTTGAGAATCACAGTAGTAATTATTGTTGCGATTGTCAAACCATACAATTTTTGTCAAAAAAGCCGCTTCTAAAATACCTACACATTTTTTATACATGTACACTACTTCATAGCTGCAAATATATAAAATCTATAAAGTTATTGTATAAAATTGGCATACAAAACTAACATGTCAAGTTAAGTCCTCTTTATTTGGGTATTAAATGGTTTATAGCTGACAATATGTTTCTATTACTTCACA